ATTAAAATAAAGTTATTATAAAGGTTTAATTAAGAAAATTATTAGTAATTGCACTAAAAAATTTCAAAAATAGCTTTATAAAGTAAGTTTAGTAACAGGTGAATTTTTACTATTAAACTTAGTAAAATAACTCTGTGGTCTCAGTTTTACTAAGGAAATTTAGTAATAACCACCATCGCGGCTTTGGTTTACTAAAAAAACTTAGTGATAACCACCATCGCAGCTTCAGTTTTACTAAGAAAACTTAGTAATAACCGCCATCTCGGCTTCGTAACCATTTTATTATTAAAAAAATATTTCTGAAGTTATGGAGGTGTTTTTTACTAGATTTCTTAGTAAAAAAACGTTTTCAAAGCTGTGGGTGCGTTTTTTTTACTAGGTTTCTTAGTAAAAAAATGTTTCCGAAGCTGTGGAGGCATTTTTTTACTATGTTTTCTTAGTAAAATAACATCTCTAAAGCTGTTGAGGCGTTTTTTACTATGTTATCTTAGTAAAATAACGTCTTTAAAAGCTGTGAAGGCGTTTTTTACTATGTTTTTCTTAGTAAAAAAGGCATTTCTGAAGCCACAAAGGCACTTTTTACTATGTTTTTTTTAGTAAAAAAGGCATTTCTGAAGCCGCGAAGGCACTTTTTACTATGGTTTTTTTTAGTAAGAATCACTACTGAAGCTTTAGAGATGGCTTTACTAGGCCAGTTTATTTCTGATCGTTCGGGTTTTTGATCGCAAAATCTGTTAGCCAATCCAAACATGTGATCAAAATCGGAATTGAGAACATTTGATCTTGATTTTGATTGATCTTCCAATTTTTTAAAAAAATTTTTTTTTCTTTTCTTTTATAAATGACATATCAGCAAAATATTGAAGACTTATTACTAATACAATTTATTAAATCAAGCCAAATTTTTGAGGATTCTGATAATAAATCAAATGATTCTGAAGCTGAAGAAGCTGAAGAAGACAAATTTATTTTTTTGGATTAAGTTCTTTATTAGATTCCCGTTATTTACAAACATGTATTTACAATGTTGCTAAATCTCAAGAGTGGTGGTGTTATCTTACGATACTAACGACTGAAAATTAGTATTAACGCAAGATTAACAAGGGATTTAGCTTTAAGACTTTAT